CATTGCTTACTACGTGTGAAATCTGTGAATGATTACAGAGGTCACATGGTACAAGGCTATTCACAAAAGTCTTGTACCATGTGACAAGCTGTGACCAATCACAGCTCACTCAGTACTTCTCAATGAGTGCAAGAATGCACACATAGATAAAGAGAAATGATTGCTTTTACATCCTATATGGGTGTAAATGCAATCAGTGTAAAAAAAAAAAAAAAAAAAAATCTTCATCACCCCCCACAAGTAGTACAGTGTCACCATGGTGACACTGTACTGCTAGGGTGACAGTATGTAAAAAAATAAAATAAAATAAAAAATAATAATATAAAAAAAATTAAATAAAAATGTAAAAAAAAATGTTTAAAATTATAATTTTTGGTTATAAACTAATTTGGATTTTTTTTTTTTTACTAAAAAGATAACAGAATAAATTCTGGCCAAGATTTATGATGAAATATTATTTATTTGCAAAATTTTATAAAAAAAAACACTTTTTTTTCAAAATTTTTGGACATTTCATTTACATAGCAAAAAAAATACAAATCCCAGTGGTGAATAAATACCACCAAAATAAAGCTTTATCTGTTTCAAAAAAATGGTAAAAAATTCATTTGGGTACAGTGTTGCATAACTGCACAATTGTCATTCAAAGTGTGATAGCGCTAAAAGCTGAAAATTGCCCTGGTCAGGAAGGGGGTGAAAGTGTCCGGTCTGGAAGTGGTTAACATGACATCTGTATGTTTGATTTGATAAAGTGATTTTGGTGCTATTAAGATTGAACATTTTTGGCGCTCTTTCACCAAATTTTCATGAAACATTTACCCAACTATCATCCTCTTGCAGTTAAATAGCCCTCATGGTCCCACCCTCTGGGCTGCCATATGTAACACTAAAGGAGCACTTCCATTGACTCTACTTTGACTTCCGGTGTTTACGTGCGGTCGGAGGCCATGACATCACTTCCAGTTCCTTCCAGAAGTGCCTCATTCTAATGGCGGGACTCACACTTCACCACTTGGATGTCCAGGTGGCAGGTGTGGGTGAAGTATGGGGGATGGCAGACAGGGGGGTAACTATCCCATGCTTTACTCTACTTGTAGGCACCCTTTGCTGTGTCCTGCACAGGATATTGTTACAGGCCTAACCTATTGTAATTGGTGTGGTGGGGTCAAAACCCCATGACATTTTGACATGTAAAAATTGCGACATTATCATGGCCTCCATTGGAATATCATAGAAATTCTGCATTCTTTTGCTGTTCTGGCAATACCTGGAAACTGTTCTCCACCTCTTATTTGTTACTTCCAATTAACCAAATAATAACTTTGCCACTCTATGTGGTCTTGGTGTGTTTGGGTACCAACCAATGGGTCCTGCCCACAAGCATCTCATGCCAGGATGTAGATGCTGACCTTGGATGATGGCTGAACAAAGATGGCGCCATCCTTCTGGCGAGAGAAAAGCAGATGCCGTCATTGTTAGGGGGAGTATTGTGCCATCTGGGAGAGGTAATAAATGCATGAAAGGGTTACACTGACACATTACGGCAACATGCACACAGATATCTGATGCTAGGCTGGCTTCAAATAAAAAGAAAAGAGTCACACTACCAGCATTCACTACATTGGCTCAGTGTGATCGCATGACCTCATCACAAAGTCAGCATTCACTCCATTTGCTTAGAATAATCAAAGACCTCATCACAAAGCCAACTTTCACTATACTGGCTGTGAATGGCTTCATCACACTTTGGGACTGTGTGCATGTTGGATGAAATATCTACCATTGTCTGGTAGGTATATAGCACTGAACCAATGAGAATGGGAATTAGTTCTAATGAATATAGAAGAAAATGTTTTCTCGAAAATGATCACAATAGTCAAATTACTCAACAGATATCAGGTTTTGGGTATGTGGTTAGGAGTACCTAGTGCAAATATTCATCCTGCTTGAAAATTCTTTAGGAATATTTATTGGTTAAGAGTATCAGATACAGCCCACATGTTTAGGAGGAAAGAACTTCCTTTCTTCATGACAAGAACTGTGGTTTGCTGAAGAGTCAGGTTGGAATGCTCAAGAACAGGGGTCTCCTAAGTTTTTAAACAAGGGACGGCTTACTGTTCTTCAGGCCTTAGGGGGCTGGATTGTGGCCAGTGTAAGTAGAAAATGCCCTGGCATCAGTGGGAGTAAAACACTGCCCCATCATTGGTTTTAACAGGAGGAATAGTGCCCCATGGTTTGTATCAATGGGAGGAATAGTGTCCCATGGTTGGTATCAATGAGAGCAATAGTTACATAGTTACATAGTTAGTCTTGCTGAAAAAAGACAAAAGTCCATCCAGTTCAACCATTAAAAAAAAAAAAATTATAATCTTACACTCACAGTTGATCCAGAGGAAGGCAAAAAACCCCAGCAAAGCATGATCCAATTTGCTCCTGTAGGGGAAAAAAATCCTTGCTGGTCCCCTGAGAGGCAGTTGGATATTCCCTGGATCAACTTTACCTATAAATGTTAGTTAAATAGTGTCCCATGGTTGGTATCAATGGGAGGCACAATGCACCATAGTTGGTATCAATGGGAGGAATAGTGCCCCATGGTTAGTATCAATGGAAGGTATAGTGCCCCATGGTTGGTATCAATGGGAGGTATAGTGCCCCATGGTTTGTATCTGTAATGGAACCGGACTCCTACTGCACTAGGGTATTTCCGTTAGCCACCCGCTTCCCTGTCCGAACACAGATCCACAGACACCACCGCTGACCATACAAGATAATACAGCACCAGACTTGTATTAAAGCAGGAAATGGACTGCTTTATTTAACATAGAAACAAGATATATACACAGGGTGGGGAAATACACCCAGTAACAGGAAACACATCAGCAGGCCATCCCATCAGGTGGAAGGGCTGCCAGAAACACCCCCCCCACCAAGCCAGTACAAACACATATATCCCATAATAGTTTTCTCCCAAGCAAGACACACAATAGAACAATGGGACCACGTGGCAGTAAACAATGAACAACCCCCACACCCCACCTATACATGTTTACACAATAGCAGGACATTTCACCTTGTACCCCTAACAGGCACAGGGTGACTTACACATAAGAGAGATATGGAGAGCTGAGACAGGGGTCTCCCCACCCCTCCAAAGTGAGCTGTGTTCCATACGCCCCCCACCCAAAGTAACTCCTGGCACAGTATCAATGGGAGGAATAGTGCCACATGGTTGGTATCAATGGGAGGTATAGTGTCCCATGCTTGGTATCAATGGAAGGTATAGTGTCCCATGGTTGGTATCAATGGGAGGTATAGTGCCCCATGGTTGTTATCAATCAGAAGTATAGTGCCTCATGGTTTGTATCAATGGGAGGAATAGTGCCCCTTGGTTGGTATCAATGGGAGGTATAGTGCCCATGGTTGTTGGAATCAATGGGAGAAATAGTGCCCCATGGTTGACATCGATGGGAGGTATAGTGTCCCATGGTTGACATCGATGGGAGGTATAGTGTCCCATGGTTGGCATCAGTGGGAGGTATAGTGCCCTATCATTGGCCTTAGCAGGAGGAATAGTGCCCCATTTATGGTGTCAGTGGGAGGAATGGTGCCTCATCATTGGTTTCAGTTTAAGAAAGAGTGTCTCAAGGGCCAGAGGGAGGCAAGTAAAGGGTCATCTGGCTCCTGAGCTGCAGTTTGGAGACCACTGCACTAGAAAGTCTGAGTTAAGGCTGGATTAGGGCTAGCATGTCCTAGTACCAATAATATCAAGCTGGCTGTCCACATTTTCATTAGACACTAGTCTAAACCCAGGTGTTTTTGTGGTTTCCACCCTGTTTCTATTACAGACCATGGGGTTTATTCACTAAAACTGGAGAGTGAAAAACTGGTTCAGCTGTACATGGTAGCCAATCAGCTTCTAACTTCAGCTTGTTCAATTAAGCTTTCACAAAAGAACCTGGAAGTTGATTGGTTCCTATACAGAGCTGCACCAGATTTTGCACTTTCCAGTTTTAGTAAACCAACCCCCATGGCTCAGACACTGAAGGTAATCCCTTTTCCTAGAATCATGTTGGTGGTGTCTGCTTCTCTTAACCAAAAATATGTTTTCCAAGGGAGATGAACATTTGCACTAGTTTCTCCTAACCACACACCTAGACATTTACTGTCTGTTTAGCTTTTTGACTTTTATGATCAGAGAGGTAGCAGCCTAGGACTACGGTTCATACATAAATGTAAATTATCTGCCTCTGTTGCCATAAAAAAGTCTTATAAATGCCTGTGATGTCACCATATAGCCCCACTGGCTTCCTAAAACTTCAGAGCACTAGAAGGATCCGAAGTATAAAGGACCCAGCAGAGGACAGGATGTGGTGAGGCAAAGTTAGGCTCCATTCACACTTGTGTGACTTGTCATGTGACTTTGCACATCAAAGTCGTATGACAAGTCACAGCCCATTCTTTTCAATGGCACCAGTTGAAATTGGTGCGGTTTTCAGTGGCAGCAATTTTTAAAAGTTACATGCACTACTCTGGTGCGGCTTTTGATGCGACTTTGATCCAGAGAATGTCAACTCAGATCAAAGTGGCACCAAAAGTTGTGCTTTTGTGAATGTGAATGGAGCGTGTTGCATAGTCAGAAGTACAGCATGAATTGAAACCTCTATGGATTGTGGATGGGAATGTGCAAGATAAATAAATACCAAGGTACCAATATTGAGTTTATATAACAATACTTTTATTGGGAAAGCTGGAGCATGAGGATGATTTACCATACAATGGTCTATTTAAAAAAAAATAAGCTGTAATAGCTGTGGAAGACCAAAACTTTGAGTGTCCTTTAAGGAAAATAAATTTTCTTCCAAACATGGAGTTTTTCACAGTTCACTATCATTTTGGTGGGTTGAAATCTGGTGAACATTCATTTTGTAAAAAACAAGAACACATAAAAAAAGCAAAAAAAACAATGGAAATAAAATATAACTATGTGGTTTCCTGAGCACCTATCGGCTGCGCCCCTCTGTCTCTGTGCTCTCGGCCCCCCTTTTCCTTCCAGGAACGTTGAGAGATGCCTCTATGGTGGCACGAATGGTCACCGAGGAGTCTAAGCGGATCCTGGCCTCCTGAACAGAGCAATTCCGTAACAAACTCACAATGGCCACGGGAAGAACCTGAGGGGAAGATCAAAGGTTTGCCATTATTTCCTAACTGGAAAATGTGGTAATAATGTGCAGAATTTCTTCAGATTATGACCACAAAGACACCACACCCAAAACGTGTCTCCATCAATGTGATGAAGTAAAGCCAAGAACGGTATTCTCCTGTGAGAAACAAATGATTCACTAGCTAGCAGGTGCAGAACGATTGTCCGTGTGATTTGATAAAGACTCTTGGACTGTTGGAAATCCATTTACAATGCTAAAAGAGTACAACCCTACACTGTGCACTCAGGAAAGGTTGAACCAGAGTTCAGGCATAGCAGTAAAGGTGATAAAATAAAAAATGGAGCTGAACTTCTATTGGCCTTGAGTTATTTTGTTGATGGTTAGGTGAAGAATTTTTAGGTTAGGGATCATTTCATGCCACCAGTAATCACATTCAAATACGTAAATTTTCCATTTAGAGGATATAAATTACATTTTTCTTAAGCTGAAATGATAATCTTATCCCAAGCCCTTAGCTGACCCATTGTGGAACACACCTCTTTTGGGTACCAGAGCCAAGTTTCCTCTCTGACGTGCTGCCACCAACACTACCAAGTTTGATCTAGAAGTACTGGGGCAGCAACCAGTCAGTAGACAGCCCTACTGTTTGGTGTCATCTTAAATTGCAAAGCATTTAACCAGTACATTGCAATACTTTAGCTGTGCCTCCCTGCTGCAGAACGTATCTGCCTCCTGTGGCCCAGTATTCTCCAGAGTTATCTTGCCTCCTCCATGCACAACCACCTGCTTGAGTCTATGACTACCTCAGCCCCTTATGTCCTCCAGTGTCCCCATATACCCCGTGCCTTAGTGTGTCTCCAGCATGCCTCTGTGCTTTTCCATGCCTCCAAGTGTACTACTGTGCCATCAACGTTTCTCTGTGAACCTCCACCTGCTAACATCACATCCAAGATATTGCCTAGCAGCAGTGTTATGTCTTTTAGATGTCTACACCAGAGAGGCGTTTATAGTTAAATAATACTATAATAAAATATTTGAAATGCACATGTAATCTTATTAATATAAAGCCCAATTCAACTTTTAGGTTTAAATTAGCAAAATATAATGTGTAGGTGTAACAGTGAAAAATAGTGCAAAGTATCAAAGTTGATTATCTTTTGAAGGTTGCCACAGCCTGAGTAGAAAAACCTACAGTATCCCCTACAAGGATGTTGCAGAGTAGGACCCTTGCTCTCCATGTGGAAGCAGTGGTCTGGCGCACTAAGGCAGAGCCAGAGCTCTCCAATCATCAAAGCTCATGCTCCTCCCTGATTAAAAAGCTCTAGTTCAAACTCAGAAGGGGGTGTATGGATTTAAACTGGATTCAAAATGGATTCCCCCCCCCATAGATGACCTTTCCAGTAGAGATCTATGAAGCTTACACCTATCTGTTTTGGAGCTCTCTATGGGTGACACCCAGGGGCGGACTGACCATTGGTAAACTCGGGCACTGCCCGAGGGCCCAGGGTCAGTAGGGGGCCCCATGAGATGTCCCTGGTACCTTTCATATGCTTTTTTGGGTGTGGTTTGAGTGTGGGCAAGGACACAGGGGCCCCATGATCCCCTATTGCCTGGGGGCCCCATGAGTTGTCAGTCCGCCCCTGGTGACACCCCTCCTTGTATATCAGGTGAGAGGCTGATGGTGACAGTATCACACAAGTGGTGTTATCATAAATTATAGCCCTGTGCACTTGGATAGGATTGATTCAGTATACATGGAAGCTGGAAAAGACTTTCATTATCGCAGATGCATTGTTATCCTGAATTTGCATTGTCTATTGACATACATATAAGGACTATATTAGCATTATATATGTAGCGTTGTCCTGGACTTTGTATTGAATATCTTCCGCTGCTACTTCTGTAGGTGAGCTTTCCTTCAACTGGCGATGAAGGTGACACCCATCTCTTTCAGGGATCAGTGTGGGGGAAGCTATCCCCCACTGGAACCCTCTTTCCACTTAAACTCTGGAAAGATGACAACAGATTTCCACTGGAGCTCCGTGAAGGTGAAAACATATCTATAATGGAAACATCTATAGGTGGCATTTATAGTATACTAGAATCTTGTGTGTTTATGGACACCTGTCTTCTGCTGGGTACATTTCAGGTGAGGTGGTCACCCTGAGTCGTGTTTCATACCTTGTCCTTTAATGAAGCCACCTCTACATGTCGGGAGATCTCGGTGTTCTTAGTCTGGTCACTCAAGATCTGCTCTCCATGGATAGACTGGAGAAGAGCCTCTGTGCACCGGGCCTGGGAGTGTCCTGTCAGACGCTGTGGATCATGTAGATTCGTGTTATGGGGTTGAATTATATAAAATGAAGCATATTTTTGGGAGGTGGCTGCAGAGACATACCTGTAGGATTGAGATTGCCCTATGAAAGTGTTTGTTATTACTGACTCTGAAATCCACTGGGAAGTTACGGTATATTTGGCCCTTAAGGACATGGGCCCCACTGGTCACCGTGTTCAGGATCCACTTACTGCTCAGCTCCCTCTGGAACGTCTGTTAGGGATGGAATAAGAAGAAATTATACTACATGCACAGAGCAATGAAAGAGCTATGACATCAGCAACATCCCACCCGTTGAATGATGTCATTCGACTGCCAGCATTCACTACATTGGCTCTGAATGATTACATAAAACTGTAACACCTCTAGCATTTACTACATTGGTCCTGAGGAATCACATGACATCATCACACTACCAGCTTTCACTATAATGGTTCTGATGAATCACATGACATCACCACTATGCCAGCTTTTATTACATTGGTTCTGAGGAATCACATGACATCATCATGCTGCCAGCTTTCATTACATTGGTTCTGAGGAATCACATGACATCATCACGATACCAGCTTTTATTAAATTGACTCTGAGGAATCACATGACATCATCACGCTGTCAGTTTTCATTACATTGGCTCTAAGGAATCACATGACATCATCATGCTGCCAGCTTTCATTACATTGGTTCTAAGGAATCACATGACATCATGAAGCTGCCAGCTTTCATTACATTGGTTCTGATTAATCACATGACATCATCACGCTGCCAGCTTTCATTACATTGGTTCTGATTAATCACATGACATCTTCACACTGCCAGCATTCAATATATTTGCTCTAAGAAATCACATGACATTGTCACGTTGCCAGCTTTCATTACATTGGCTCTCAGTAATCACATGACATCATCACGCTGTCAGCATTCATTACATTGGTTCTGAGGAATCATATAACATCATCACGTTGCCAGCTTTCATTACATTAGTTCTCAGGAATCACTTGAAATCATCATTCTGCCAGCTTTCATTATATTGTTTCTGATGAATCACATGACATCATCATGCTGCCAGCTTTCACCACATTGGCTCTGAAAGTTCACATGACATCATCACGTCTGACCTTTCCTTCTACTAGAGAACTATGAAAGTGACACCTATCTGTTTTGGAATTCTGTATGAGTGACACTTATGTTCAACTGGATCTTCTGTAGGTGATCTTTCCTTCAATTGGAGATGCAGGTGACACCTACTGTATCTTTTTCTGAGATCAATGTGAGGGAAACTATCCCCCACTGGAACCCTCTTTCTACTTGAACTCTGGGAGGAGTCACATTTACATGATTTGAATGATTACATCAAACTGTAGCACCTCTAGCATTTACTACATTTGGTTTTGAGGAATAACATGATATCATCACACCACCAACTTTCACTACATTAGTTCTGATGAATCACATGACATCACCACACTGCCAGCTCTCATTACATTGGCCCTGAGGAATCACATGATATCATCACGCTGCCAGCTTTCATTACATTGGTTCTGAGGAATCACATTACATCATCCCACTGCCAGATTTGACTACATTGGCTCTGAGGAATCACATGACACCATCACACTGCAAGCTTTCATTACATTGTTAGCATTCACCACAATGACTCTAAATGACCAAATGACATCACCACGCTTTCATCTTTCACCACATTGGCTCTGAAGGATCACATGACTTTATCCATCTCCAGCTTTCACCACATTGGCTGACCACAAAGAGGCAACACCGATTGGGGGATGAAATGTACCTGGATGAAGGCTCCTTCGTACTCCAGGAACAGGATGGGCCACGTAATACTGATGATGTTGGGGATGAGATTTTTCGTAGTGTTCTAATGGAAATAAAGATACAATTTGATATGTAGCGCTACCCTTGTACAGGCTGCTGATATTAACTGTTTTAATTCCCAGACAGTGCAGAGGCTAACAATCAAACAGGCAACAGTCCATCCATACTGGCTTCAATAAACAGTCTAGGGGATGTTGTTTTGATATATTGCTTAATGAAGTGGTAATAGGAGAGGGGTCGGGGTGGTATAAGATACTCCAAAAATGCTGAATTGTGAAGGGAGGACGCACTTCACTAGGTGAGACTTCTTTGAACAGTCTTTAAGGCAGAGACCAAGGAAAATACCAGAGCTGATACCCTGTAGGACAGCACAATCATTAAATCTTGAGCTTGGGTCAGTACTCACAATATCCCAGGGTAGCTGTACAACTCTCAGCTTCTGCCAGATGCTCCTCAGTGAGTTCTCTTGAACAAATTAGGAATAGGCCCCCAATTCTGCCACAGCTGGGACCTTGATGAACATCAGCCGACTCCATCAGGACTTCCTCAAAGGGGCAGCAGCCCCTGAGGCTTCTGAAGCAGAACTAGACCAGCAGTGCCAGGACAAGGTCATCTGGCGCCTCACCTCCCCAAAATGTATGAGCATTATAAGCATTATGTCAGCCAAATTTCCCTCCCTCCCCAAAAAACATTTTGAACACTAATCTGCATGCTTACTGTCTAAGCATAAATTCCCCTTGCAAGCCAAAATTCTCCCCAAACAAAACCCCCTCTTCCTCTACAAATCCACAAATTCCCCCCTCCTCCCAATTAAATTCCCAACCCAGCACAAATCTTTGCCCCCGCATCCCCTCTCCCATCTCAAATCCTCTCCCTCCTTAACCAATTCAATACCAGGCACTTTTACCCTCCCTTCCTGCCCAGGCCATTTTTCAGGTTTCAGCGTTCTCACACTTTGAATGACAATTGCGCGGTCATACAACATTGTACCCAAACTAAAATGTTATCATTTTCTTCACACAACTAGAGCTTTCTTTTGGTGGTATTTAATCACCACTGGGGTTTTTTATTTTTTGCTAAATTAACAAAAAAAAAAAAAAAAAAAAAAAAGTTTTTCTTTGTTTCTGTTATAAAAGTTTACAAATAAATAATTGTTCTTCATAAATTTAGGCCGAGATGTATTCTGCTACATGTCTTTGGTGAAAATAACCCAAATTAGGATGTATTATTTAGTTTGTAGGAAAGTTATAGAGTTCACAAACTATGGTATAGATCTGAAAATGGATCAATCCTGAAGTACTGACGGCCAATCTAATTTCTTGAGGTCCAAGAATGTCAGAACAGTACAGATATCCCCCAAATGTCAGGACAGTACAGATATCCCCCAAATGTCAGAACAGTACAGATATCCCCCAAATGTCAGGACAGTACAGATATCCCCCAAATGTCAGGACAGTACAGATATCCCCCAAATGTCAGAACAGTACAGATATCCCCCAAATGTCAGGACAGTACAGATATCCCCCAAATGTCAGGACAGTACAGATATCCCCCAAATGTCAGAACAGTACAGATATCCCCCAAATGTCAGAACAGTACAGATATCCCCAAATGTCAGCACAGTACAGATATCCCCCAAATGTCAGAACAGTACAGCTATCCCCCAAATGTCAGGACAGGACAGATATCCCCCAAATGTCAGAACGGTACAGATATCCCCCCAAATGTCAGGACGGTACAGATATCCCCCAAATGTCAGAACAGTACAGCTATCCCCCAAATGTCAGAACAGTACAGATATCCCCCAAATGTCAGAACAGTACAGATATCCCCCAAATGTCAGGACAGTACAGATATCCCCCAAATGTCAGAACAGTACAGATATCCCTCAAATGTCAGGACAGTACAGATATCCCCCAAATGTCAGAACAGTACAGATATCCCCCAAATGTCAGAACAGTACAGATATCCCTCAAATGTCAGGACAGTACAGATATCCCCCAAATGTCAGAACAGTACAGCTATCCCCCAAATGTCAGGACAGTACAGATATCCCCCAAATGTCAGAACAGTACAGATATCCCCCAAATGTCAGAACAGTACAGATATCCCCCAAATGTCAAGACAGTACAGATATCCCCCAAATGTCAGAACAGTACAGATATCCCCCAAATGTCAGAACATTACAGATATCCCCCAAATGTCAGAACAGTACAGATATCCCCCAAATGTCAGAACATTACAGATATCCCCCAAATGTCAGGACGGTACAGATATCCCCCAAATGTCAGGACAGGACAGATATTCCCCAAATGTCAGGACAGTACAGATATCCCCCAAATGTCAGGACAGTACAGATATCCCCCAAATGACCCCTTTTTGTCAAGTAGACAGTCCGACGTACTTCATAAGAGGCATGGCGAGTTTTTTGAAGTTGTATTTTTTTTGTCATAATTTTTCGGAAAATGAAAAAATTAAAAAAATTAGTTTCACTATTTTTTTTTTTACATACTGTCACCAGTGCAGTACAGCGTCATCATATAACTGGCATGGTGGTGATCAGGGACACTGACTGGTGACAGTATGAAAAAAAAAAAAATATATATTTTTTTATTTTTTTTATTTTTTTTTATATTTTATTAAATGTTTTTTATTTTTTTTAAGATTTTTTTTTCATATTTCACTATGACCAAAGTAGTACAATGTTACCATAGTGATCAGTATTTTTGTTTTTTTTTTTACACAATTTGCTTATAGCAAAGAATTACTTTGCTATAAGCAAGCATTTACCTGAATGACATCGATTCATTCAGGGTTTTTTTTTTTTTTTTCTTTTGTGCTTAGCTGTGATTTGGCCACAGCTAATTACATGACATGTGCATGTGATTAGCTGTGACCATTCACAGATTCACAGCTAGGCACTAGTATACAATGTATAGCATGAATGAAGCCATCATCCATTGTATACAACTGTCATGTGACCTGCTGTGATTGGTCACAGCAGGTCACATGGTACCGGCAATGGGGGCCGGTACTCAGATCTGTCATCGGCCGTGTCTGAGGTACACGGCCGGTGACAGATCGTGCCGCTGCGCCGATCTGCAGGAGTGAAATCTGCGCATGTGCGGGAGGACGCCATATGGCGTCCACCCGGAACGCTGATGACATTTGCCACCCGCCATTCGGCCATAGGGCAGGCGGCAAATGGTAAATCCCCCCTTCTAGCACAAATACTACATAGTCTGGCTAAAAAAAGACAACAGTCCATCCAGTTCAATCAGAAAAAAAACTGTTATAATCCTATACCCACAGTTGATCCAGAGGAAGGCAAAAAAAACCAGCAAAGCATGATCCAATTTGCTCCTTCAGGGAAACAATTCCTTCCTGATCCCCTATGAGGCAAGCGGATATTACCTGGATCAACTTTACCTACAAAGGTTAGTTACATAGTGTCCCATGGTTGGTATCAATGGGAGGAACAATGCTCCATAGTTGGCTTCAGTGGGAGGAATAGTGTCCCATGGTTAGTATCAATGGAAGGTATAGTGCCCCATGGTTGATATCACTGGAAGGTATAGTGCCCCATGGTTAGTATCAATGGAAGGTATAGTGCCCCATGGTTAGTATCACTGGAAGGTATAGTGCCCCATGGTTAGTATCACTGGAAGGTATAGTGTCCCATGGTTAGTATCAATGGAAGGTATAGTGTCCCATGGTTAGTATCACTGGAAGGTATAGTGCCCCATGGTTAGTATCAATGGAAGGTATAGTGCCCCATGGTTAGTATCACTGGAAGGTATAGTGCCCCATGGTTAGTATCAATGGAAGGTATATTGCCCCATGGTTAGTATCAATGGAAGGTATAGTGCCCCATGGTTAGTATCAATGGAAGGTATAGTGCCCCATGGTTAGTATCAATGGAAGGTATAGTGCCCCATGGTTAGTATAGTGCCTAGGAATGGATGGAGGTATAGTGCCCCATGGGTTAGTATATCACTGGAAGGTATAGTGCCCCATGGTTAGTATCAATGGAAGGTATAGTGTCCCATGGTTAGTATCACTGGAAGGTATAGTGTCCCATGGTTAGTATCACTGGAAGGTATAGTGCCCCATGGTTAGTATCAATGGAAGGTATAGTGTCCCATGGTTAGTATCACTGGAAGGTATAGTGTCCCATGGTTAGTATCACTGGAAGGTATAGTGCCCCATGGTTAGTATCACTGGAAGGTATAGTGCCCCATGGTTAGTATCACTGGAAGGTATAGTGCCCCATGGTTAGTATCACTGGAAGGTATAGTGTCCCATGGTTAGTATCAATGGAAGGTATAGTGCCCCATGGTTAGTATCAATGGAAGGTATAGTGTCCCATGGTTAGTATCAATGGAAGGTATAGTGCCCCATGGTTAGTATCACTGGAAGGTATAGTGCCCCATGGTTAGTATCACTGGAAGGTATAGTGTCCCATGGTTAGTATCAATGGAAGGTATAGTGTCCCATGGTTAGTATCAATGGAAGGTATAGTGCCCCATGGTTAGTATCAATGGAAGGTATAGTGCCCCATGGTTAGTATCAATAGAAGGTATAGTGCTCCATGGTTAGTATCAATGGAAGGTATAGTGCCCCATGGTTAGTATCAATGGAAGGTATAGTGCCCCATGGTTAGTATCAATGGAAGGTATAGTGCCCCATGGTTAGTATCAATGGAAGGTATAGTGCCCCATGGTTAGTATCAATGGAAGGTATAGTGCCCCATGGTTAGTATCAATGGAAGGTATAGTGCCCCATGGTTAGTATCAATAGAAGGTATAGTGCCCCATGGTTAGTATCACTGGAAGGTATAGTGCCCCATGGTTAGTATCAATGGAAGGTATAGTGCCCCATGGTTAGTATCAATAGAAGGTATAGTGCCCCATGGTTAGTATCACTGGAAGGTATAGTGCCCCATGGTTAGTATCAATGGAAGGTATAGTGCCCCATGGTTAGTATCAATAGAAGGTATAGTGCCCCATGGTTAGTATCAATGGAAGGTATAGTGCCCCATGGTTAGTATCACTGGAAGGTATAGTGCCCCATGGTTAGTATCAATGGAAGGTATAGTGCCCCATGGTTAGTATCAATGGAAGGTATAGTGCCTAGGTATGGTGGTATAGTATATCCAATAAAGAATCCAGGCCTTTTTTAAAGAATAAAATACTCTTTTCCTAAAATTTACCTTCTGAGCATCAATCCTTCCAAACCCCCCTCCTAGCATATCCCTCCAAAATCATCTCCTCCCCCCCCCCCCCCATATTTTTCCTCCTAAACCAAATCTCACGCCACTGCTGCCCCCCCAAATGTCTCCTCAGTACAAGTCCTCTCCCACTCAATTCCCCTTTCTTGCACATATACCCCCAAACCACCCACCTGGCACAAATCTTCTTCCCCCCCCCCCCCCTCCTAGCTGAAATACTCTCATCCCCAGCACAAGTGTTTGTTACACTGCCAATCACTACTCCTGTCAGCTTGTTGGTAGGAACTTGCCATGTGGTGCCCCCCCCACCTCACATGATACCACTGTGCTCAGGGTAGCTTGTCCTCCCACCCACTCCTTGTCCTGGACAGGTAGACCAGGGTTGCCCCAAAAACCCCAGTTATTTATGTTCCCTTCCAGCCACCTACTGAGTACACCTACCTGGGGATTGGCTGAAGCACAATTCAAGCTGCCTATTTGACTTTCCAAGCCCTCTGTGTTCTGGAAACCTCCAAAATGTAGGGGGAAACAATCAAACCTGCAACCTGTGAAATCTGGAGCAGCCCAAAGAAATCAACAGCCGCGCCCAAGACTACAGAGGAGCCCAAAAAAACAAAGTTTACCTAGAATTCTATACTAGGAGGGTGCGACAATTTTAAGATATCATTAAAAAAAGACTAAGAAGGAGCAGATGGAAGTGGAGGCTACAGACATTTCAGACACATAGTAGACTTACTCTGCATAGCTTAAAGGGAAATGTTAGTGCATTATCAGTCAGTACCCGTTTGCACGTTTCACATACAGGTTTGTGCATCAAGCAGTACAGTCAGCAATCCTACTGAATGGCTGCTGAGGCAAGATTAATTAGTCATGTAGAGGGTGTATTATTACCTAGTCTGGGTGGATTGATTGACTTGCATTGAAAGGAAGGAACGGTAAAGCACACTCACCATGCTGTGCTACTTTACCCATATATTTACAAAGGGGGCACTCTTTACTTCTGGAGGAAAATAAATTTAACCTCCAAATACGGAAAGGTTTCTTCACAGTGAGAGCTGTGAACATGTGGAATAGACTCCCTCAAGAATTGGTTCTGGCCAGCTCAGTGGATTGCTATAAAAAAGTCCTGGATTCTTTCTTGGATACACAGAATATAACTGGATAGTAACATTTATAGGTAAAGTTGATCCAGGGAATATCCAATTTCCTCTCGGGGGATCAGGGAGGATTTTTTTCACCTGCAGGAGCAAATTGGATCGTGCTTTGCTGGGTTTTTTTGCCTTCCTCTGGATAAACTGTGGGTATAGGATTATAACTTTATTTTTTTGAATGGTTTAACTGGATGGACTTGTGTCTTTTTTCAGCCAGACTAACTATGTAACTATTCCTCCCATTGATACTAACCATGGGAAACTATTCCTCTCATTGATACCAACCATGGGGCACTATTCCTCCCACTGATACCAATGATGGGGCACTATTCCTCCTACTGATATCAATGATGAGGCACTATTCCTCCCACTGATACCAATGATGGGGCACTATTCCTCCCACTGATACCAATGATGGGGCACTATTCCTCCCACGATACCAATGATGGGACACTATTCCTCCCACTGATACCAATGATGGGGCACTATTCCTCCCACTGATACCAATAATGGGGCACTATTCCTCCCACTGACACCAATGATGGGGCACTATTCCTCCCATTGATATCAACCATGGGGCACTATTCCTCCCACTGATACCAATGATGGGAACTATTCCTCTCATTGATACCAACCATGGGGCACTATTCCTCCCACTGATACCAATGATGGGGCACTATTCCTCCCACTGATACCAATGATGGGCACTATTCCTCCCATTGATACCAATGATGGGGCACTATTTCCTCCCACTGACACCAATGATGGGCACTATTCCTCCCATTGATACCAATGATGGGGCACTATTCCTCCCACTGATACCAATGATGGGGCACTATTCCTCCCATTGATACCCAACCATGGGGCACTATTCCTTCCACTGATACCAATGATGGGACACTATTCCTCCCACTGATACCAATGATGGGGCACTATTCCTCCCACTGATACCAATGATGGGGCACTATTCCTTCCACTGGGATACCAATGATGGGGCACTATTCCTCTCATTGATACCAACCATGGGGCACTATTCCTCCCACTGATACCAATGATGGGGCACTATTGCTCCCATTGATACCAACCATGGGGCACTATTCCTTCCACTGATACCAATGATGGGGCACTATTCCTCCCATTGATACCAATGTTGGGACACTATTCCTCCCACTGATACCAATGATGGGGCACTATTCCTCCCACTGATACCAATGATGGGGCACTATTCTTCTCATTGATACCAACCATGGGGCACTATTGCTCCCATTGATACCACCCATGGGGCACTATTCCTTCCACTGATACCAATGATGGGGCACTATTCCTCTCATTGATACCAACCATGGGAAATTATTCCTCCCATTGATACCAACCATGGGGCACTATTCCTTTTGTTAAAACCAATGATGGGGCAGTATTTACTCCCACTGATGCCAGGACATTTTCTACTTACACTGGCCACAATCCAGCCCCCCTAAGGCCTTAAGAACAGTAAGCTGACCCCTTGTTTAAAAAGTTTGGAGACCCCTGTTCTTGAGCATTCCAATCTGACTCTACAACAAACCACAGTTCTTTTTTTTGATGGTTGAACTGGATGGACTTTTGTCTTTTTTTCAGCCAGACTATGTAACTATATTAAGTGTAACAATGATTCCAAGTTATGAAAGCCATAGTATCGGGGTGTGACAGAAGAAAAAGAAAATCGTAGAATGACACAGCTCACTCACCGGCAAATATTGTCCTGCTGTAGCATGAGAAACAGCATGGATGTTCGATGTCTTCTCCTTCACCAGATCCACCAGCTTCTCTACCTCGCTGAGCTCATCTGCAGGCAGAAGAAGAGTCATCAGCACTCTTATCCCTCAAGAGAAGGGGGACACTGGGCAGGATCCACGTACCCATAGAACCCCAAAATGTTTCATTGGTGGGTGCCTGGAATATTCTGCTGCCAATGCTCCTTGAGCAAACAAAGAGAATGTAATACAACCATGTCCCTATTAGATAAGCCAGGATTAGAGGTGTCTCGGAGTTTTCTTCCTTACATGTGCTTTTAGGTGACAGTGGTGTGATTCTGATCCTCGAGGGCAGGGCTGCCGTTAGAAAATAAGGGGCCCCATACAGCCTACATGACAAGGCCCTCCCCCCACCCTCAAAAATATTGAAACAATATTTTCACGACAAATACACAAATAATTTAACACCAAAAAATGAATTATGCTATGGCTATACCAAATCAAAATTAAAGTGTGAAAAAACCTCAAATGATAACTGGAGCAGCTGCTCACATGTGTTCCAATTTTACTCAAAGAGAAATTCCTTTAGAACAGCGCTTTCCAGAACGGTACTTGCCTGACTGCATTGTGCCAAGTGTAAAGTTTGGTGGAGGGGGATTATGGTGTGGGGTTGTATTTCAGGGGTTGGGCTTGGCCCCCTAGTTCCAGTGAAGGGAACTCTTAAGGCGTCAGCATACCAAGACAGTCCGGACAATTTCATGGTCCCAACAAGGAATGGGCTTCATGTTCAAGTCGAACATAAGTTCAACTCAAACCTGGGCTGTTCGTTTGTTTGTGGAACACATGAACGGTAGGGGAGTTTGGCGGGCTGTTCGTCCACCAAGCCCCACAGTGCACTGTGCCCTGGCAGTGCATTGCGATTGGTCAAAGCCAGGGGCGGACTGACCATTTGGAAACTCGGGCACTGCCCGAGGGCCCGGGGTCAGTAGGGGGCCCCATGAGATGCCCCTGGTACCTTTTTCATAGGCTTTTTTGAGTTTGGGCAAGGATACAGGGGCCCCATGATCCCCTATTGCCGGGGGGGCCCCATGAGTTGTCAGTCCGTTCCTGGACAAAGCAATGCACCTGTCCACGAGTTAGGTGCAATGTTTTGACCAATCACAGCATGTGATGACATCACAAGGGGGTTGGGCGTGGCCTCATAGTTCCAGTGAAGGGAACTCTTAGGGCGTCAGCGTACCAAGACAGTCTGGACAATTTCATGCTCCCAACTAGGGATGGGCTTCATGTTGGAGTTGAACCCAAGTTTGACTCGAATCTGGGCCATTCGTGTTTGTGGAATACACAAACAGTACGGGCCCTGACAGTGCATTGTGATTGGTTAAAGCAATGCACCTGACCACAGGTGAGGCGCAATGTTTTGACCAATCACAGCGCGTGATGAAGTCACAAGGGGGCAGGGTAAACCCCCCCACCCCCTTGTGATGTCATGACAGTATATAAGAACTGTCATTGCGGGCACAGCTGTTAGACGGCGGGAGCCAGCATCATGAGCAAAGCAATTTTTTTTTTTTGCGGCGGCAGTGGGCATTGTGATTGACGTTGGATCTATTTCAGGGGACATTTTTTAAATTTTATTTTTAATAAAGGACTTGTCAAAAACTGTCTCCTGTCTTTTTTTTACACTACATTTTCTATGTTTTTTTTTTAAATGTTAGTTTTTATTAGTGAAATGCAAAGGTTACATACATAAGCGTATGGACAAAGCCACCGCATAGGCATAATATGACAAAAACAGTAATCAGAATGTAAAACAGTACAGATAGTTATTAATATAAATAAACATTAGAATTGTACATATAGGCTCATAACATCAAAATGTCCATACAAAGTACCACTCATGGCAGAAAGAAGAAAAAGAAAAAGGGAAGAGGACGAAAGAAAGGGAGCCGATAAGGGATAGTTTACATACATGGTATGATATGGGGTGTTAATATAGGCTATTAGCGCGGATATAAGAGAGCTATCCAGCAAGTAGAATACTCAAAACAAAAATCAGGTATTACACCACATACTGTAAGCCAAGCTTTCCAGGCTTGCTTAAATGTGGGTAATGTGTCAGGTTGGATAGTTATTAATCTTTCATATGAGTAATGTTGTTGACTGACGGATTGGGGGCCAGTTCCTTTTTTCCAATGTTTTGTAATGGTTAATTTAGCAAATAACAGGTGGTTGGCAATAATCTTGCGGTAAGGAAAGGGGAAGTTATCTATTCCCAGGTTCAATATAGCCAGACCAGGATTAGGGGGAGTAAATATACCTGATATGTCTGACAGGATTTGGAATATTCTTTGCCAGAAGCTGTGAATACTTTTGCATGTCCACATTATATGAAACAAATTCCCCGTAGACCTCTCCAGCAAAGGGAAGAGCACTCAGGATATGTGCGAACCAACTTATAAAGTGTAAGATACCATCTTGTATTTAATTTTAAGGCCAATTCCCAATGGTTCACACAGTCGGTAATATTATACGTGTATTTTATGGCATATTGCCATTGAGAGATGGTGAAGGCCACATTGAGATCCATTTCCCATTTTAGCATGGGGTTATTTTTTAAAAAATTTAGATTTGTTTTGAAGTAGATTGTAGATTAGAGATATTCCTCTTGATGGTTTCTCTGGGCATGTTAAGAAACACTACAAATTAGGGTGTAGATAAATCCTAGGTAGAGGATGAGATAACAAAAAATATCTAATATTTAATAATGTAAATAATGTTGTTCATGGTAATTTAAATGTATTTATTATAGTTTCAGGAGTGTCAGGGTTTCCATCTGTGAGCAGTTCCTCAGCCCAGGTAATTCCATATTCCTCCCAGTTGTGTATTCCTATGTTTGGGATTAAAATTTCCAGTATGTGAATGGGAAATCTTACATTGTCATCATGTAAGGGAGGATGAGTGGATTTGATTAATGTTCTCCAAGCCAGAATATATGCTTTTGGTGGTAATGGGCAAGTTCTCTATGGGGATCGGTCTCCAAAGGTCTGCTAACAGCAAGTGGCCTAATGTAGCGTTTTTTGTAAGATGTTTTTTGATATCAACCCAAAGCGGAGTCTCACTGGAAGAAAACCAATAACCAATATTTCAATTGGTCAGATTGAGTTGCTGTGGGGTAAGATATCTATTATCCCCATGCCTCCCACTCTCATGTGTTTTGTGAAAAGAATATGTGAGCATTTAGATTTTTTTCCCATTCACATAAATTTTTTAAGCATAGTGGATAATAGGGATAGGTACAAACGTGGAGTGGGAATATGTAGGGTTCTAAATAAATAAAGGATTTGAGGGAGGATGAGTATTTTGAAAGCAGCAAACCTACCTGTCCATGATAGTTCAACTTGGGCAAGGGCGTTTAATTCTATTTCTTGTTTAGAAATAAGAGTTTTATGAAGTGATTGGCAATCTCAAGGGCAGTGAGTGAGGTGCTGGGTGGAGGTGGGGGTGGTGAGAGTAGAGAGTTGAAGGTGGAGAAGAGTCGGCGAGGATTGGAGGAGAGGGTCTTGATGAGGGTCAGGAAGTAGGCTTGTTTGGCTGCGTGGAGGGAGGAGGTGTAGGTGTGGAAGGCAGATTTGTAGCGGGTGAAGGCTTGTTGGGATTTGGTTTTGCGCCATAGTCGCGCTCCAGGGCACAACTGTGTCATTTGAGGGTTTTGGTGTGATCAGTCTGCCAGGGCTGGAGTGGTCGGGGTCTGAAGCTGTGTGTGGTTAACGGCGCTAGTGAGTCAAGGGCTGTTGACAGCGCATTGTTGTAGGCAGTCATGGAAAACTGACACCGTGCATTCCACGTGTAGTAACGGATATCAACTGTAACGGCAGAAGAGGAAGCTATTTGTATTCCAAGATAGGTGATGCTTGTTCTCGCCCACGAATATGGTAGATGTTGTTGCAGGGAAAAGCAGAAGGATGGAGGACATTGAGATTAGAAGTGAATGATTTACTGAAATTTACTTTATAGTAAGAGATCAAACTAAACTCCAACAGGATAGTATGGGCTTGATAGAGTCATATTTCTGGGTTAGTTAGCATTAGGATAACATCATCTGTGAACAAGTTAATAACATGAGACAGATCTTTAACAAAAAAGCCATTATGAGGGAGTGGGATTGTATATGTAAGATGGGGAAACAGCTCTCATTGTTTGAACACTGGAGTAAATCAAATGTTTTGACTGACATTCTGCGGTTTAGCCACAAGATGTCACTGTTTTTCTAGCACAGCCTCAGACTGCATAGATACTTCTATATTCATGAAGAGGTGGGGTTTTCACACAAGAGTTGAGTGAACAGGGAGAGGAGACAGCAGCCATGCTTTGGAGAATGGGGCTGTGTGTGAGCTGAGAATCCGATGCCATTCAGGTGTGAGAACATCCCTCCGTAATCAGAAATACAGCTAAGTGAAGCTGATGGTGTTCAAGACGCTGATCCTGTTCAGAGAAAGGAAGATTGCTGCCAGGAATGCTGATGAGATTGCTGCTTGTTGGAGAGACATTTGTTCTGTTCAGAGTCACCAGAGGATGCAAAGCAGACCTGGGTCGGTAGGATCGTGCACGCACCTCATTTCAGTGTTGGCGCCTTTAGACTGAGTCCAGGCCTATAGTTAGTTAGTTAGGGTCTCTGTTTGTGTCAGGCCACAAGTGTTGTTACTGATCATTGGAAGGACTCCACAACTTAAAGTGACATTTCACATTGGAGAGCTGATAAAATCCCACAAACTCAAGCCAGACTGACATTTTGCTCAGAAGGAATACTCAGGCACATGCTACAGGACCATTTATGGGAGGGGGAATACTGTAGAGTTGTGTAAGATTGTAAGCTGTTGTGCTGCACTGCCACAGGCTAGCCCATACCGTACACCCATCCACTGATTCTTCCTCTTTTAGGGTAATAACAGGTAAGGTGTGGCCGCTTAGTTGTGCCCGCCAGTAGGTAAATTACTTCACTTTCTACCTTCATCCATCAGAAGGCACCGTGCTGTGCAGCACAAGGGTCTCAGCCTTTGGGCTGGGTGTATGTAAATTTATTGTATGTTTC